TCCTAGTCCCATGCATTCCTCTGGTAAAACGAATTGTCTTAGTAGCGGTATTACAGCAAGGTAATCTGTGAAACCGCAAGCGTCGTCCACCTGACCGCGCGCTAGCTTTTCGCGATGAAGAATCTGGAAGAAGGTTTAAGGGTCAGCCTTCATTCACCCCTCCCTTAGTGCTAACCTCTTTAGCCGAGGGAAGAGTTGCGTCACTACTTGAACCTTCTTCCATGTTTCTGCCGCAGAGTACAGATTATTAGAGAACGACGCCTAGCTCGCTAACACGCCACCAGATCGGAGATGACGTTTTGGCGAGTTTGTTAGTTCTCTAGCCTCTTCTGGCCGATCCAGCCACTGATTTGGATGTTATTAGGATATCGTTTCTCATCTGCAGTAGTGACGATGTTTATTGGAAATGGAGGGTTTGAAGAAATTATTCCCTTCATCTATCATTTCCTTTTAGAAGGAAGAGATAAGGCGGAAGCATTCCGATATGCGCAATGTGGCCTTTATAGTCCACATGAAAAGATGTGGAAATCGCTATAGAAAATTTTGATTGAAGGTTCAGAAACATGTGAACGAAATCGCGCTGCATGCTGTCGCTTCGTGTCCCATTCAAAGTCTATGACAGCAAGTCTACCCTCTGCACCACAACCTCATCTTTTCAGGAGTTTATAAAAGTTGTGGAATATGTGGCGCCTATGGTGGAGAATCTTGACATTCACACGGAACGACGTCTTCTTCGGAATCTCGAAAAGCAGCAGATGAAGCTCAACAAGGAATACTTGCAGGAATTCGAGAAGGTATTTCACATTGAGTCACTCTCATTTTCACCTTTTCTCCGCAACATCTAGTTTTATTTCTACATTATTAACTGCCTTCTCTATTACTTGTGTAGCAATTCACTTTGTGTCTACTCAGTGACATGAACTGCTAGCCATCATGGATTACTTAAACATGTACAGCCTTAGTGTAAAAGGGATAAATGAAAAGCATCGCGGGTTAGCTGTCGTGGACGTTTGTGTTTTTATCCTGCTACAGGCCTGTTACCAGTCAACCGACCCTGAATGGATGGATGGCATAGTTGGCCTGGATGGTGCACTTCTCGTAGTGAGCTGCACAAATCGTCAGTATACCACGCCGCCGCGCTTCACCGTAACGATGCATTACTACCATTGCTCTTGCAGTTTACAGTGAAAACCTTTTCTCGGATGTCGTGTATGGGGTCATATCTATCAAAGTGAAGCAACTTGAAGAAAAGCTCAGTCTCGGAGAAAGAGAACTATGATCGAAAAGTCAGCCTATTCCATTGTTTCAGTGTTGGAACTCTAGGTACCAGAGCGAGGTTTGGGTAAAAAAAATACTCGGAATGGGGAGCGGCGAGTGCCACTCCGAGCCTATAGTTGAGTGGTGAGAGGGAGTTTGGATTAGGAGTTTTCTAGCACACACAGTTTTAACATGTCACTATTGGTGCAATGGAGTTTATTTTCTGTATTATAGGTGAACGCACATGTACAAGATTTCGCTGAAAAAGTTCGTACCATGCACAGAATATGCTCGGATTTGACCAATCGCATTCAGCAAAATAAAGAGAAAACTCAGGATCTTCTCAGTAAAACGAGTGCTTTGCAAAATCAGAAGTTAGTGAACTTTTTAAATTCTCGTATGCGTGTCACCCGAAACTTTTTCTCTTCAGAAAACGTTTGGAATCTAAGCAGAAAGCCATAGACGATTTCCTTGGGAGATTTTCCCTAAATGAACACGAGAAGAGGGCGCTCGAAGGAAATACTAAAGGTTGGCTTCGCATTTGATAGCTTGTGTTCTGCTGCGCAACAAACAATCTTCTTTATTCATCGTCGAGTGTGAAAAGTTATGGTCCTCCTATTTCAACGTAGTAAACTAATGAATTTTCTACCCGTTAATCATTGTTGAGATCGATTCCTTACTGAGACGTTTCTCTTGATTAAGATGGCACAATTACAAGCGACTTTTTCCCTGCCCTGGCTCGTGCCCGTGATATTTATATTGACAGCAAAGAGCTGCTGCGTAGCAGTGGAGAACACTCAGCGGCGTAAGTTCTTTTAATTTACCTATCAAAAATGTGCAGTATTTTACTTGGTTTAGCGATTACGACATTTATTTTTGTTATTTAGTGTGGAGATCATGGAAGAAATGTCACAGACACTGGAAAGGGCCTACGAAGTACTGTATCGAAGTATACAAAGTGAGTAATTTGCTAAAAATTCCGGGCATCAAATGCTGTTAGTGGGATTCCATTGCCGTTTCTTAACTGGCCGTCTATCCTTCCTTCTATACCTCCGTTGTCTACTCCCCGGTCAGTAGGATTTCATAGATATCCAATATAGTAAGGGAAAATATCGGTCCATTTTCGTTTTCTTTTTTGAAATGAGACGTCGATAAGGTAATGGTTATCATCTGCTCCGAAAATGGCTGGAAAATTGTCTTTATTTTTATTTTCCCGGTTTTTGAAAAGGAGAGTGGCCCTTATCGTTTCTCACACATAAGTTCTTCAGGAGAATGCCGCATTCTGAGCGCGGACTACGTTGAGATGAAAGCTGTGCTTTGCCAGTCGTTCGCCGCTTTGCAGGAGAGAGAAGTTCTATTAAAATATGCTCTAGGTCGGCTTCTCATAGAAATTGAGCATCGTCCTGATTTCACTAAGTTGTTTTCTTACAGATGAGGTTTGCACCGCGCGAAAGAATCAGATTTTGCGCCTGTACATTGATGCTCTCACTAAGGGTACTCATAGCAATGGCAAACCTATTGAACTGATGAGCCACGATCCGCTTCGGTACGTTTTGTTATCTAAATAATGGCCCATTTCATTAATTTTTAGTTTCAGTCTCGTTTTACTTCAAGGTATATGGGTGATATGTTGGCATGGATATACGAGGCATTAGAAGGAGAAAGGGAACTTTTGCAGATGCTGCTTAAGGAGTGTAACCCTCAAGGTGATGGTATTCCTATTAGAGAGCTTCACGAAATAGCTCGAATGTTTTCTCTTCTGCTTATTCATTCTCGTGTTGTTCAGTTATTCGAGAGAACCTGATGAGCCTTCTTTCGCAGATTTCGAGTGCCCTCTGCCGACCATTCAAGGTATGGAAAAATTTTTCACTATTTCATTATCGCCTTATTGTTGAACGTTCTCGCTCTGCCTTCTGTGTTGCTACATTTAGTTGGCATTGTGCAGCGGTACAAACAATGCGTACCCTGATCTTTGAAAACACAAAATAAACACTCAGCTTACCTCACTCGCACTGTGGGATACGCCATGCTTTGTGCTACCTTCTGCAATTGTATCATTTGTATACAATTAGGCCTATACAGTGACTTGTGGGCCAAGTCGATGTAAAGGTCAACCTTTTTGTTCTTCATGACGAACAGACGAAAATTCTGATTCTGTGGACGGGATTCTCAGGAATTGATAGTCTGCGTGGTGAGCGGTATTATTTCATTACACCGTGCAGTTTCAGAGGAATGCTGGGCTGTGAACAAAACTTTCGCCCCAGACGGGACTCGAACCCGTACCTCTTGCTTACCGGGCAAGTGCGCTACAAGTTACTCGTGTCTATCTTTATCCGACATCATACGCTTTATCCTTAAAGCGAGAGATTGCGATAGGATTCTGTTGTGCTCATAGTGGAAGTGAAGATGCTGAATAATGCCCTAGTAGCGAAAAAAGCAAAGAAATCCGTCAAAAACGCGCAAAATGGGACCACTTCCTCTGCCCGTTGACCTCCGATAATGGACGAGTTGGCAACCAACTAAGAGGTCGTCGGCACTCGTTAAACCATAGCTGCCATCATACCACCAGAGATCATACCTTGATTGATATAGCATTCCATGAGAAAAAAATTGGATACGCGCTCGAAGTGGCATACCTTATCAGAATGATAATCGAACAGCGATCTGCTGAGGGGCGGAGCACAGGCGGAGGCGGAGCTCAGAAAGGATTGGCAGCCCCAGGGCGCTGCAACGAGCGCACCTTTAGTCACAAAAAGGCCACATCTCGATTCCTTTGGGCTCTAGCTACTGCTTGAAGTGCTGCTCGTTCTTCCATGCTGCACAGAAATTTTATCGTAATTTCTCGCTTTAAGATAAGCATTTGCCGTTGATTCAATTTTTGGGATGCGGCACGCATTCTACTTCCATTTGTACATTCGTAGTGGCGTTTGAATGCGATGTGGCCTATACAATGACTTGCGGGGGCCAGCCGATGTCCAAGTCAGTGTTTTTTATCCTCCCAGACAAGTCTGGTACCAATTAACCGACCCCGGAGGGATGGAAGGCCCGGATTTCTCGCGTGGTAAGCGTATCCACTTGCCACTACACGCACTTACCAGGAAAGGCATTCAACTTCCCATGGAACTTTGAATTGAGACCCAGATATATCGATAGAGCTTCAAACGCTGATTACAAATATGGAAACTAAAACTGCAAAATGAACCTGCCAAGGAAGTTGTGAGCAGCCAAAGTTGGCTAAAGTAAAGCACTGCACATGAACCGTGCTGCACCCAGGCTTTCAGAGTCGCCGCGGAGCAGTGGTGGTGCCCTCGCTCTTCACCCTGGAGGTCATAAGCTCTCCTCCCGTTGGAGTGCAAATTCCGAGAGCACTGCCACCAGGTCAACCCTACGTTGTGACGAGTCACAACGGGGGGGTCGTACTGAATTGAGCTTGGAGGGGGGGGTCGTAATTTTTTGGTGGCCGGCACTGAAAATTCTTGGTGATGTCCTACTGAGTATGGATAGTGGTACGAAGGAGAAGAGCAAACGCAGCAAAGAAAGTGTTTGTGAATAGTTATAGCAATTATGCAAAGCCTTCTCCCTGCAAGGACGCAGTCATGAAGTGGAAGATTGCAGCATCCTGAAAAAAGTACTCGCATTGTGACAGCCACGAGACCACATATGAAACTAATGCCTTTAGAGACCAGCATGATAGCCGGCACGATACGTTTGCGCAAGATTACTGATACTAGAGCATCTGTAAACCACGCTTCCCTCTGAATGAGCTTTCAAATGAATCAGCGAATTAGAAGGGCGCCCGAGGCGTGGCGCGCACCAAGGGAAGGGATGTAGTGCAAGCGCATGCTCGGAGCATTCTAGCACATCCTAAATTAAACATGAAATTGGTCTTGCGAGATGTTACGGGCAGTGGAACTTAAGAAAACTCGCGCTTTCGAGAAAGTGGCTCAAAAAATACCCCTCAAATTTGAGGGTTACAACGGGACTAAATTTTGAACTACTGATTTTTCAGGAACGCTTGGGTACTCGTTAGAAAGCTTGAATCCTGGAGTGTGTTATATCGCGTTCAGCTTCCTAAATGAATGACTTTTAAGGAAGTTATGATCGTTTGAAGGTAAAAAAGTCGCGTTTTCAAAGAAATGGTTACACCAGCCCTTTATAATGGTTACAACGGGACTAAATTTTGAACTACTGATTTTGCAGGAACGTTTGGGTACTCGTTAGAAAGCTTGAATCCTGGAGTGTGTTATATCGCGTTCAGCTTCCTAAATGAATGACTTTGAAGGAAGTTATGATCGTTTGAAAGCAAAAAAGTCGGTTTGCACCAGAGAAAGTCACAACGTCCAAAATTTTTAATAAATTAACTTTCGAAGAATTTATACCCATGATTGGCTAGAGAATAATTTGAATTTTTTAAATCAAATCACTATGGCGCTGAAGCTCGAACATGAAGGAAGTTATAGCCCTAGAAAGAGGAGTGTAAAAATTCTCTTGCAATCTAATTTTTTGGCTTATAACTTTTTCATTGTGAAGGGTTTGAGAAAAAATGGGCACTCCTTGAGAAGGATGAACCACGCTGATCCAACATCCGCCGATATCTTCCGGACTACCTGAAATTAAACAAAAAAAACTCCTAAACTTTTCACATTCCCGTTCGACGGCTCCTCACCTTGAGCAGATGCGCTCCACCGTCAGCAAGGCAAAAGGGCGCCAACCAGCAAATTTGAAATCACATCGCATGATTGAAAGAGCATGGTTTCGTCTGACTTATTGTCTTTACAATCTTTCTGAACAGTTTGCACACATCTTCAAGCGGGCAAAAATTTATTATTGATAGATGACTCATTTTTGGCGAAGTTTTCATTCAACGGCGGTCCACAATGTGTTAAGGCAACTGATTCAGTTTGGCGATCTCTTAGTTTAGTAACCCCTCGGGGTACCCTTCGGGTACCTTCGAGTGCATCTCATTATTCGGAAGCTGATTTGACTTGAGTAGCAATAAATATTAAGGTCAATCTGTCTTTACACAAGTGTAACGTACAAGGGGGGGGGTCGTATCAAATCAACCATGAAGGGGGGGGGGTCGTAAAAAATTTTCGAAGAGTCACAACGATAGGGTTGACCCTGAAAGCCGGAGGCTAGTGTAATGCTTTACTTCCAGCCAACTTTGACTGCTCACAACTTCCTTGGCAGGTTCATTTTGCAGTTTTAGTTTCCATATTTGTAATCAGCGTTTGAAGCTCTATCGATATATCTGGGTCTCATCTCAAAGTTCCATGGGAAGTTGAATGCCTTTCCTGGTTAGGCCCGTCCTATCTTAAAGCATTGCGCAAATACTTACATTCAATATTTTTGCAGCTCCGTGTTGAACAGGCACTGGCCGGAGAATCTGATTCCGTTGTGTTGTACCGCCTTTCTGCTCTCTTCATATTCTATTCGGAGAAGATGACGTTTGTTTTTGTATTTTGCTCCGGATGATTCCAAGCATGAATTATATTTCTCTCTTTAGACCCCAAATCGGTGCTGATTCGGAATTGGCGCGTACCGTTGAAGAACTCAATCAACTGACACTGAACATATTTTACAGTGGACTGAATGGAGCTGTCCAGAAAATACTCTCCAAGGTTTGTTAGTTCCTTCGGTCGCTATGGTCGTCACGCCGTTTTCATTAGTTTACCCAAGGATTGAAATGTTCTACCTAAAAACCGTACACCGTTAGCACGCCCTGGGTTAACGAACAATAATGGGGTGTTTTTTTTGCCTGTTTTATAATGTAATCCTTTGAGTATTTAGCATGTGCACTACCTACTTAATTGCTTTCATAAAAATTTAAGAGTAAGGAAGAATATCGTATTTTATTAGGTTTTGTGTTTACAGATGGGTGCGCCGGATTATGACTTGCTGCCCGTTTCGGCTGTGCATCAAATTCTGATGCTTTTGAGGTCAGTCTGTTGAGGTTAATAACTTATGTATAAACAGTAACTTGTGGAAGTAGTTTCTTCTTTTTTGGCGCATGTGTACCAACTTCTGATGAATTTTCCTTTGGTTTCATTTTTCTCTTCTTTTGTGCTAGGTGACCTGAAGGATACCACCAATAAGGCAGATATTGACAATGGGGCCTGCTACTAGGAGATGCGGTAGTTAGCAAAACAGCTCGATCCAAGTTCGAGCATTTTCCCCTGATTCTTCTTGACTTAGGGCGGAAGTGGTGTAGTGCAAGTGGCGCGCTTACCACGCGAGCGGTCCGGGGATCAAATCCTGGGTCGTGAGTCGCCCGGGCCAACCAAGCCTTCCATCCCTCCGGGGTCGGTTAATTGGTACCAGACTTGTCTGGTCGAGTTAAAACAGACTTGCCTTGGAGGATAAAAAAAACACTGACTTGTACATCGGCTGGCCCCCGCAAGTCATTGTATAGGCCATATCGCATTCGAAACGCCACTACGAATGTACAAATGGAAGTAGAATGCGTGCCGCATCCCAAAAGGGATGATCACGGCAAATGCTTTATCCTTTTATTCTTTCATCTTCTTGAAAATGATTTTTTGGTTTGTGACGACATTCACAAATCCGTGGTTTTTCTCTCTTTGGAGGTCATTGGAAATTTTGTACTTTTCTTTTATCATGACTACATCGAGCTAATTAAAAAACGATCACTGACAGAGAAGTCAGGCTGACAGCCTTCATCCTTTCTAACAGTCTATTTTGACACGAAATAAGAATTGGGCTAATTACGACGGAATGAAAGTAAAATAATATAAATGAAATGACTTAAAGGTCTCCTTGGATGTGAATTGTTTTATTTGGCGTACAATCACATCATGTCGTTAATTTTACAATAAAATTTGTTTTATTTTTCTAATTTATTACACGAGCAAGGATAGAAAGGTGGTTTGGGGGAGCTATTGGTTTCTTTCGAATTTTGAAGGCAGGCAACTCGAATAAATCATTCAGTTTTAATGCCACAAGACATCCTTTTCGGTGTATCCCAGCCAAGATAAAAAAAAATTGGGTATGACAACTTTCATACCCGATAACAGCCGATTAGATCAGGTCAGCTATCATCTTAACCGTCTTAAAATAAGAATTCAGGGACGTATTGGAAACTCATGACGGCGCGATCGCCTCTCGCCAAAATGCTGAGGAAGAGTTCAACAAGGTTATTTCGTTTTGAACAAAATATTAACAACTCTACTAATTGTGTAACATAAGATTTCTTCAGATTTTTGGTTGTGTATTGGATCCTTTGTACAGATCAGTCCAAGTTGCCGCCACCCATCTCCACTCTCCTCTAGGTTTGTAGCTTTGAAGAAGTCTTCAAGTTGAAACTCACTGACGCTTTCAAATGTGTTCGTATTCAGATGTCGCTGTATATACGCTGAACTGTCTGTCAGCAATATACTCTCTGGTCATTCTTTATCCATTCACCGATTCTCGACTTGAAATGATAAAAGCTTTAGTAAGTAGTCGTTGCAATTTGTTGCTGTGTGACAGTTTCTATCCTATCGTTCTACAATTGTATACTCCAGATGGAAGGCAATGAGGATGTTCTGGTGTCTGTGTCTGAAGAATGGTCCTCAGCCATCGTGCCAAACACCGGCTGATTAGCCTGTATCAAAGGCTGCTGCTCATGACAGAAATCAAGTACGTATACACACAGAAATGCAAAGTTTTGCACTTACACCACCTGAGGTGCACGCACGCCACTGCGCGCTTGCGTAATATCGAGTATTTATGGGTTGACGTGTGGTAATGGATCAACTCGTTGATCTACCCTTCCTCACATACTTCTTTTAACTTCTCGGTCAAAGGCAGCTTTCTTGGCGCACAAGCTTTGAGCTCGTGTTTCTTAGAATAGCTGCCTTTTACGAGGGCTTTCTCTCAGGTGGAGGTTTCCAGGATTTGCCCTGACTTTGTTCGGAAATGCAGGGACTTTTTCAGAATACTGCCATTTTTGAATTCTGTTCCTCTCAATTTTTATCGTATACCCCCAGTTTCCGTTAAGAACGCCGTTCGTCTTTGGTTACTTCTGTGCCTGCCATGTCTCAACGCCATCTACAAATTTTCATAAGCAACGCCTAATTTGAAGCACGACGCGCTTGTACGGAGCAATTAATCTTTTACTTGCTTTACTCTTTTATACGCTTGCTTCTCACGTCTGCGCGCATACGTTGTACGACGAATTTATTTGTATTAATATAGTTATTTATCTGTAACAGAACGAAAATTGTCTGACGTCTGATGTCTGACAAACGAGCGAGCGAAACACAACGATATATCTCATTTTCCTGGTTCATAAACGTGATAAAAAAGACAATTATTTTTCAAGGGACCATGTCTGCTATTCCCGGCATGGATGCAAGCACAGTCAACCAAACTTTGTCGCAGTTCGATGTGTATTTGTCACAACCAGATAATTACCAGTTGGATCAAGTTTCCAAAATTCACAGGGCGTACAGAGGCTAAGTTTAATCTGTCGAGCTTTTCTTTTGAAAAAAAAAATTGGTACCAAATCGCTTGGTCTTAAAACGATGTTATATACTCGTTTATAGGGAAAGCGTGCAACAGAGAACGATAGATAATGTCGTTGCTGCTTACTCAGTTGTCATCAGCAAGTTGGAAGATCCATTTAACGCTTACCAAAAGGTGCGATTAAGTGATCTGTTGAGCAGTTATGTTATTTACATGTGACGGTCCAGTTCTCAATTATCCTTACCATTTTCTTCCTCTCTCACTCACCTTCACACCACCGCCGAGTACGTTGACAATCCAAAGAAGTCATTCAAGAGCTTGCTGTGGAGTATGCTGAATGAACTGGACCTATTTGTTTGTATATAGGGCAGAAGTGGTGTAACAAGCTGCTTATCTTGCCCATAGTTTGGGGATTAGTCGTAGATCACAAGCTTTCCAGGTGTCAGAGTTCCCCGTATCTACGGGTTCAGTTAATTGGCACCCAACTTGTCTGGGGCTGGCATGTATTTACGTCGGCTGGCTCCCGTAAGTCATCGTTTAGGCCTATTCGCAATCATTATGCCACTGCGATCCTGATTAGAAGCGGAATGTGTGGAGCGTCATGAAAAATAATTGATCAACCGAATGCTTTATCCATTATCTGCTTATAACGATATGTCATGTACTGGCTCGATTGTTGACTGGTCCCTCCAGTCACATAGTAAGCTGATACCCGTCAAAGCACCCCTCTATTCTGGGTAGAAATCGCATTTATGGCACAGTATTCCATAGAATGAATGGGCAAACCACTTAATCCTTTACTATTCAACACTCGCACCTTACTTCTTTGTTTGAATTTCGTATTCCACTTGCTTACAGAACGTCAAAATTCTTGTTTAAGGTAAAAGAGCTGCTCAAATGAGGTTCTTCATGGTTTCATCCTTTCCCAGTCTTCCGGTAATCGATTACTGTGATAATATTAATTGTTATATAGAAATGGTAATTCCTGTGCAATCACTTGATAATTCTGTTCTGAGTACCGATATTGTTCTTATGAAATGCTGTCTGATGAATAAATGGGCATTGGAATGAGGGTTAATCGTGCGTTGCCCAGATTTCGTAATTTTTACTACCATCCCTCTTTCCAGAGGGTATCAGTAGCCCCCTCTATACTACCTATATATGTATTTTTACATATTTATATTCACATCATTGCTGCATGGGCAGCCATGTACCGGAAAGAGCTGGAAGGCAAAGATAAGTCATGTCGCGAACTTGATCTGGCTCACAGGACGGGACTCGAGAGAAATATACATTCAGTGAAGGGAACTTCCAATATTTTGCATAAACCTAATTACTTTTACTTGCAAACAACGCTAGTTTGAGAAACGTACCGTCTTCTGCGATTTTCCGAAACTCCTTTTTTATTAAGTGAAAAATCCTTGCAGTAGTTGCGAACCTCTTTATTCAGAAAGTTATGTCTTTCTTCAGTAGCGCTTCAGTGGACGGGATACCAGAATACTCCTTTCAAAAGTGTTTAAACTGTTGCAAATGTTCAATTCTTCGAAAAATCGTCCCGTTGTTCCGTTTTTTGTGCACACGCGAGTTTTCGACATTCAAACATTCATAACTTTCTTCATAATCAACTTTTTGCAGATGTCTAAGGCTAATTAGAAACTAGAAGATTAGCGCTTTCAAAAAAGCACCGAATCTTTTTCCAAAGTCACTCCTCCAAAAAGTGCACGACTGTGCCGATTTTTCAGAACGCGCGAGTTTTCATCATTCAAACGTTTATAACTTACTTCAAAATTAATTTTTGCAGATCAAGGTGAATTAGAAAGTAGAAATTACGACTGTCGAAAAATAGTGAAACTCGCGTGAAAGACCTCACTTTCTAAAAATAGTCCCGTTGTTCCGTTTTCTCCTTCTACGGTTTTTTTTTCAAGTCATTCTCTTTGAATTTTAGATTTCAATCTTCAAATACCCATAAGTTTCTTAAAATTGGTAGAATGAAAGGCGGTGAAAACCATTGAAATCTACAAAATCAGTGTTTTGTAGCATATGCTATCTTTTGAAAGGCTCTGCAAAGGAAATCCTTCTTTGCCAGAATTTTCTACCAGGACTTGAGAAATGGTCTTAACCATCAAAATTCCTCTAAAATATCTGATTCGTGCTCATCTGGAATATGAAGTGATAAGAACTCCTGCTCTGGGATGCACCACTCAATCGTTCGTGGTGTAGTCGCAGTGGTAGTTGAAAGTCTGCCCTCCTTGGCCACCTTGCCATGCCTTGGTCTCTCCATATTTTGCGATTCTTAAGCTTACGACCCATACCCCCTCTTCCATCGGTCGAATACGCTCCACTCGTTGACCTTTGCGCAACGGACTGATGAATCAAACTAGGTCTCGAAGGAATAGGTTGGGCAAAGATGCGGGTGGGATGTTCTGGTGCAGACTCCATCCCGCCAGCCGGCCAATCAGAGATGACCTGGTTTACGGTACCGCCCTACGAAGCTCCACCCACACCTTCAGCACATGTTCCTATTTAGGGACAAATCCAAAGAAGGATAAGAAGGAAAAAGTGTGGTCAGGAATTTCATAAATATTTATTTTCAAAATATTTTGTGAAAATGAAGTAACACCGTAAAATTGACCCAATGTACATATATACAAACAATCGCTTGTTAGTAAAAAGAACAGCAAAACTGAGATCATAATGCAAGGGTAATGTACATACAGGTGAGCTTTTTCCCAATTGAGGTTATAAATATGAAAATATGAAGTTAGGCAAATGTGGATCCCATTAACTACCCGTTCTCCTCCACTCCTGCACACATCACAAAGGAAGGCATAGGACGCTTCAGAAGACGTGCGCTATCAACGCGCCAAGGCCCGCTTCCGTTCAACGTTCACCTCCATATCAGACTGGAAGGGGCTTGCAGTAGGAAGTTGCTACCACCTCGTTCACAGGTGATCGTTTTCGTTCGAATTCAGCGGTGCAACCTATTCCAAGTTACCCGTCTCTTACCCTCGCCTTCAAATGACCAGAAATTGTGCAATTGCAGAAATTGACGTGGCATTGACGTGGCATCGATTCAAGAACATCTTTGAGCACACGTGACGTCACCTTTTCATCGAGAATTTAGCCACGTGTGCCACGTGGATTTCTGGCTGCATGAAACGGAGTGTATTTAATGCATGCTGCTTGCATAGGATTAGACGTCCATCACTATGCTATCGGTCCTACCGATTAGAACAGTCAATTGTTCGTCGATCCACGTGGATACTTCGACGTGATCGCTTCCTTCAATTGAAGGAATGTCTTCCACGGAAAACATCGCCTCCATTCCTACAAAAAATACCTTAGGCCCCTTGCTTCATGAAGATAGCAAAAAGAACGGAACATAGGCGATGGTTTTGATAATAATTATGATAACCAGTTCGACTATGAAAATTTTGAATTCCCGCTGTAAAACTTCCACAACTGTTAGCGGCGTGGAGTCAACACGTGCAAACGTGTCAAAAGCGTGAACGTGAACTGGATTCATGTTGGACCTTCCCCATAAACTGAATTGATAACTGGATTCGCACCTGCCATGCACTTCGTCACAGATTCTGGTTCCGCCTACTGGTCCAATCCGGTGCCACAGATGGGTCTTTCTCGGCTGTTCTCGTTGGGGGTCTTCAAGTCATTTTCGCGTCCGGACTTTTGCACATCGGTTTCAATTGATCATGACGCATCACCTGTACATAAGAAAGGATGACTTTCCGTGAAAGATTATTTTAAATCTATGGCAACATCAAAACCACGTAGATGCGTAGAGATGCTCTACACCGTAGCAGAGCTTCCCTTGCTGACGCCATTCTCTTGGTGTGAAACTTTGAGCTTGAATTCCGTTGTCACATACCGCCGGAACAGAGGCGGAGTGGCAAGTTCTTAAGTTTGAAGCAGTGATGGTGATCATTGATTCGCCATGGAAGAAAAAGGGGAAACAAATTGTCGAAAATTCAGAAAGAGGCCCGATTTGATTAGTAGATCCAGTCTACGAGAAAAATGTGAGACGACGGCCAAGTGTAGAGAGAACAGAGCGGAGTTGACACAGCATAGAGGACGGATGAGACGCAGAGCCACCAAAATGGTGCGCGCATCCATG